TATATATGAAGCTGTTCACTGACACCTATTTACTGCCATTGAGTTGATGCTCCCGCCTAGTGACCCTATAGGACAAGCTAGAAGTGCCCCTGTAAGTTACCAAGAATAATTATTTATGGGAGTAGAAAAGGCCCTGTCTTTCTCCAAGGAGCAGCTGGTAGTTTAGAACTGCAAACCAACTCTTCACCACTATGTCATCAGGCTTTTAAAAATGCTACTTGTCTGATGATAAAAATGGGTAAATGTAGATTTTGTTATATATCTCATACCTCATGTTTCATTTGTATAATTAATATCACTTGATGTATGAAAGCCAAGATAGATAGCACTTTAGAAACAGTGATGGGAGTAATGATTCCCTGAGGGTATGGGAAGAAAGGTGTGGGGTGGAAGCGGGGGAGGGGGAGCAGATAGCAATGATGACTACCCTGTTTCCCCGAAAGTAAGACATCCCCACAAAATAAGACCTACTTACAGTTTTGCCTCTCGCTGAAATATAAGGCATCCCCCTGAAACTAAGACCTCGCCAAAAATAAGGCCCCCCTGAAGCTACCATAACTCTGGACACTGGACCATAGCGGCAGGTGCCGCCGTGCAGGTCACTGTTGGCCGCAGCGCAGCCAGAACAGACAGGAAGTGCGAGGTCTCTTTTACTAGAACAATAAATGTGTACCGTATTCTTCATGGAAAAATAAGACATCCCCTGAAAATAAGACCTAGCACATCTTTGGGAGCAAAAATTAATAAAAGACACTGTCTTATTTTGGGGGAAATGGTAGATAACCCCACTCTAGAAGAACAAATACAGAATTGTAGGTGAATGGATACATTGTATGGTGTAAAATATGGCTATATACATGAACAAGGGTTCCTGGGGGCAGGGTGGGGGAGGGAGGGGATAAAGGAGTGCTGATATCAAAGAGTTTAAGAGGAAACAAAGTCTTTGAAAATGATGGTTGCAGCAATTGTACAATTATTCTTGATCCAATTGAATTATGTGTAAGATCTGTAAGATCTCCTAATAAAATTATTTTTAAAAATTCTATTGCCTAGCCCATCGTCAAAGTTTCTCCTACCTGATATTCAAAGCTTCTTAAATCTAACCCCATAGCTCTAGTCTAGAATGATTATCTATCCTGCTAATCCAGGATTCTTGCCACAGTCTCTCCTATTTTGCTCCCTTTTCACAACATTTAATCCAATGTCCACATTTTTTTATACTACGAATTCCCTGACACATTCTTTGCAATATTTTCTGGCCATTCAGAAGTTCTATTTTGGCCACATCAAATTCCCACTCAGGTCTCATCTTCTTCTTGAAGTTTCTCAAATGTTCTGTAAAATTAATTTTTCTAAATTGTATTTATTTTCCATATTATATATTCTACAATTCTAGAGATTCATCTGTGTGTTTCTTATGATATAGTTAATTCCCATTAAATTTTATAGCCACTGAGTTCATTTATTTTTGTTTCTTTTAGTCTTTATATAAACTCACATTTGATATCACAAAACTTATATTTTCTCATAACTGTTATTAACTTCTAGGGAAAGTTAAACAATTAAAACAAATTTTATTGTCTTGTCTGTCACCTAAGAGAGTGTGCACTTAATAATTTAGTTGAAGAAGAAGCAACAATTATATGATCAGCACTCAGGTATCGATCATTGATTTTGTAACAGTAAATTGGCCTTAGTCTAAAATGCTGTACACTGGCACATTATTGTTACTCTTCTGTTCAGGGGACTTTCCTAACAGAGGAAGCTTAGTATGCTTATCAACATGCTTAGATACTGTGATCTTGTTTTCTCTTGTAGGAGATCCAGGTGTGAATCACAGTTCATAGGTCTAGAAGGGTAAGGAGTAACTGTAACTTCATAACACAACCATAAAAGCCAAATCTGACACCAACAGTCTCAATAAAATATACCCAGGAAACTGGGACTCCCAAAGCAGGAATACCATTTATGAGAATGATGTTCTCTCAGTTAAAACATTAAACATCTCATTTAAAAGATTTCAATTAAAATGAAATTAACAGCTATTGTGTATGAGCAACAGAAGATATTGAAATGACCATATATATCTTTTAAATGACTATATTTTTAATGACTAAATATAGTATACAAACATTGGGGCTACTAATCTATTGTAGACTAAGATAAAACCCAAAAGACTACAACAAAAAATTTTTCTTTTAACCTTAAAACCTTTAGCATATTAAGCAAAGGAAAGAAACATTATAATGTAGTAACTTCTTGTTATGATTAAATAGATTTACTAAGGCAGCCCAAAAAATGACCTTTGTTTCTAATCCTACTCAGAGCAAGATGTCAAGTACAGATGAATGGAGAAGTTAGATAAGGGTCTTGGCAGTGGTAGCCAGTAATAGGCCTAACCCATATCAAGACTTAATTCATCTTGTTCTCCATTGTGTAGCATGCTTATAAACCCTTTCTTTAGGCCATTGACATACTAACTAGCTGAGAGCTGAAGCTAGAACTCAGATATTATTTTACTTGGCCCACATGCTGCCCTAAAAAAATGAACCAATCTGCCTTTGGGCAGAGTATTCACTCTCAAGTTCCCTATGGCTTCTGTCCTTCCTTTTGTCTTTTGTCCTGGCAACCTTGATTTTTTTGTTTTGTTTTATTTTACCTACAAAGCTCCTGAAGACATTTAAGCTTGTGATCATGAGTCATAATAAACTTGATAGCAGTAAGTTTGTTTTATTTCCCCTAGATCTTTGATTTAGGATTGTAGTAGATTTGCGACCTATTATGTTATTCTTCTGTCTCCCCATCAAATAGTTTCATTTGAGTGAGTGGGAATCTAATTAGGAAATAGGTTAAAAGATGAATTATAGTTTGTTACGGCTGTATATTGAATCAATAAAATTATATTTAAAGCTAAAGTCATTTTGTAGCATATTACTGGGATATGGTATACATGAAAGTATTTTCTAAGGGACAAAAAATCTGTATAAATAGGAAACATGTATGAGAAAATTATAGATTCTTATAATAAAAAGCAGTTTTCACCAAATGAAAATGCAAACAGTCTGAAAGATGACAACAATGCTCATTTAAAATAGCGTTAGTTTTCAGTTGTTAGCCCAAATGCTACTATTTCTATAAATGTACCCACACAAAATAATACACAATAAAAATTGTTTTCAAACATGAATGCCAATATACTCCTTGAACATACTAAAAAGCTATTAATTTAATGAATGTGCAATCCTACTTTGCTTTAACAGAGCAATAACTACTTTGCTTTCAAGTTTATGTATTTATATTTAAATTATCAAAATGGTCTAAGTAAACATACAATATACTTGTGACATTTCATGGGTGCTCTCTTCTCTACCATTTAACCTGGTGAGGTTGATACAAAATTAGAGACCATCATGAAATATAAACTAGGAACTGAAAATATGAAATCAGAGAGAACAAAGAAGAATCAGAACAAATGGCAAAAGGACATGGGACACACGTCCTTTAGAGAACTGTACCTTTTTAATTGTCTTCTCAATGAGCATGTCACCCACTGGCATCAGAATACCACCAAACACAGCCAGGACGGCCCCAATGACGGCCCCCGCAATGAGCCCACAGTTCCTGTCGCAGCCCATGCTTTCCTCCAGAGGACCAGCAAAGGTTCAGGAACTGCTTCTTTCAAACTCTTGGGTCCGATTCAAGTGCTTTCCAAGAGCTCTGGTTCTATCACTAGAAAGAGATTATAAAACAGAAGCTTAAATATCAGTGCAAAAAGATCAAAGTACAAAGAAAACACGCAATTGAAAAGCGATCATTTTGCTGTTATAAATAAACAAATGCTTTCCTTTGCTTTAGCAAAATGGCTGTTTAGATTCTTCTCCCTTTTCTTCCTCTTAATAATGTGCCTGAGGCCCAAAAAATATATATTGCCATCTAGTTTCTTCAACAGTTTCTTCTTCAGGATGTTCTTTCTGTGGACGATTCCCGTGATGCAATCTTATCTGTGTAGGCTCATGCTGGCTGTACTCACCCTCATATCACTCTTGCTCAGACTGACCTGCCCTGTTAACTATATCTCGCCCCTCTGTCTGGCTTCTCCAACAAGCAGAGTTAACTATGAAGGGCCTGGTGGTTCCTGCAAATCAAATATCGGTGGCCTGATGTCTTCTCAATTTAAATGCTAAGCAAATATGCTGACATGTTATTTTTTTATTATACCTTCTTTGGGAGTAAACAGCAAGATATAGATTACACAGATGATGATTCTTAGAAAAAATCAATTCCTCCAATCATTTGTAAACTACCTGTTAAGAGAAAAAACAGTGGTAAGCTGGGCAAATGGAAACTAAGACAAGCATTTTCCCTATCAGCATAATTGTAATCATAGTAAAAGGAAAATCTCATTATTGTGAATTCTAAGTGTACGTCCAAATTGTGTCTATATCATATAAACTTATTCAGAACAATAAGTGGTTTTGAAGACCTGTGCTTTAATGTCAACTTAATTGCTAATAGCTGATTTTGGATATATCATAACTATAGAGAATTAAAAAAGCTATAATATCAAGAGTGCATGATTTTAATGCTAGCCCTGTTTTCTGATTGGTTTAAATATTAAACTTGAATATTATATTATTCAGTTTATCATGTGAAGTTGATTTATGGCAGTTGTAACAATGTAACTAGTTGTGTTTCAACTGGTCAATCTTCATGCTTTATATCTTTATGTAACAGAACATGTACTTGTTACATCAAGAAAACAAATTATAGAATGAGTGGACCTTGCTGTAATAAAAGTGGTAAAGATCTATTACTTGTGACAAACCTTTGAAAGTATAATTATTTGAACTACTTTGGTTATAACTTACTTTTCCCCTATAGGGTTGAACTGGCATTGATAAATGGTCATAATGTGCTTAAAAGCCTCTAAACAAATACTTTATACTTTAAAATGTCTATGGCCAGCAAAAGCATAGATGCCCAGAGAATGCATGCTATGGCGAAGAGAGAGCATCAAAATACATTTGTCAAAAGTATAAGGGAAATAAAATAAATTATATGTTGATGTGGTATCCAAAATATAGTTTTTCCTTCACAGTTTTATGGCGATAGAAGTATCAATCCAATTAGTTTATTTCTAAGTGATGAGCAACCTATCCTTTTCACAATAGCACTGGATTGACTACCAACTAATAGAAATATACAAAATAAGAATTGTTCTCCAAATGCTTTCTTACTGAGTAAAAATTATCTTTTTCTGTTCCCTTACATCTAGAATACTTTAACCATAAAATATAGGTGAGATAGTTTATTGTGCCAGCCTGGCTGATAAACGCAGGTGGGATTGACTGAGGGGCGGAGAGATGGATGGCTTGGTGAGCCTTGCCTTTCTTGTCTCTCACTCTGTGATCATTGGACCAGTGTGCAGCTGCCTTGCTTGTTCTGTGCCTCAATTTAAAGGCTACACTGCCTGTGGGACGCCTAGCCTGTGGACTGTGTTGCTGTAAGTTGAGGTCCCTTTAAGACTTCTCTGGAGCTGCGTACTGGCGGTTGGTGACCTGCCTTATGATTGGCTGCTGTGCTGACATAGCCTAGCTCTCTCTACAAATAGAGGAAGATCTGGCATCAGACAGAGACTTGAAGGACTGCTGGTCTCTCAACTTTCTCTCATGGACGTGAGTTGCACTAAGCCATTTATAGTGCTTTCTAATTTAACTGTTTATTTCTTGTATTGTATATTTATCTGTATATAATTTAACAGTTCATTTCTCATTATATATCTAATTATCTTTATAAATAAATATATTATATTATCAGGAATTTGGTTTTATCTCTCTAGAGAACCCTGTCTAACACAATAGGATACAATAAATTAGTTTCTACTTAGGCCAAAGTGAAAAATAAACATATTTCATCAGTCCTATTTTTTATAATATGAATGGAAAACAAATCTAAACAAAATATTTGTTTTTCCTATGGACTTCCGTATATCACTGGGCAAGTGGGTTTGACATTTTTAATAGTTTGGGGGTAGAGTGGGGAGAATAACATTTCTTATCCTGTGAAATCATCTAACACAGGCTACCTTTATGACCTTGCTCTTGGTTGACACACTGCAATGAAAGAAATTCTTTCAGGTGGTTTACAAACCACCTGAAGACCTCTATATAATTAAATTAAATTTCCTATGCAACAAGTCTTATTATTTTGCAGCCTATTCTTATAAATAGCCATTACATTTTTAAATATGGAATCCCATTCTGGTTCTATATGTGTATGCCTTGAACCGACAGTTATGATCAGAGAGCTTTTTGAGATATAGTTTAATGTATATCTAGTTCACATATGCCTCCCGATTGCAAGCTATACTTCAGATAACAATCAAAATAAAGAGATTTAAACTAATGTGCTCCGGACTAGGATCTTTGAGACTGTACCCAAAACAGATTTGGCTCTCTTGTCAAGTGGTCATGGACAAGCTACTTAACATCTCTCCATTTCTTTATGTGTAAAATGAGATGCTAAGACAAGATCAGTGGGTTTTAAATCAAGCACGTGAACTGGTTTTTCGTTCAAGTTCTAACATAACAAGACTTTATAAAAGGATCAGCATAAATATGAATCTAGCATAAACCATTAATGTCAAAATTAGGAAATTGAAGATTTCACCAACTTTTGAAGTCTGAAATTAATTAGACATGCCATTAAGATACATGAATGACTACTGGAATGTGACAGTTGGAGACAAGGAAGCATTGGGAGTTGGCAAGTGTGACGCTTGTGAGAGAAAAGATGACAAAGATCACCTTGCAAAAGAATTTGGAAGACTGACAACCTATTAATCGCAGATCATAGTTTTCAACAACATAAATGGTGACCGTACATATGGAAAATTGTTCTGGGAATATAGTGTTTAAAGGGTTTGACTGCTCACCAGAGGCTGCTAGTTGTAGTCAAAAAGCTCCCCCACAGAAAAGAGTGGGGGACAGTGTGCTCTCCTCAGATTTACAGCGGTGGAAAGTCTATTGGCCCTTCTGCTCTGTCTCACAGGTGGGTAAGAGTCAGAATCTACTAAGTAGCAGTGGGGTTTTGTATATTGTCCTACCTCTCATTGACATGAAATCTACTTGCGTTCATCTAGATCTGGAAATCCTACACCTCCTCTCTTCCCTCTTTTTACTTTGTAATTGTCTTCATTGCACATTGATGCTTCTGGTTCCCTGTTGGCAGCAGGGTAGGTTTGTTGTACTTTGGATATTCCTGTGTCTGGGCCGACTGCTGGCTGTTGTCATGTATGTCATTATCAAATTGCTGTCTGCTGTTGCCAGATTTTTGGTCCGAAGAACTCCCTTTAGGGTGTCTTGTAAGTTTGATCTGGGTTTTACCAATTCTTTTAATTTCTATTTATCAGAACTGTCTATATTGTTGTATTTGAGGGATAATTTTGCTTGTTATATAAATTTTGTTTGGCAGGTTTTTTCTTATTCCTTTTCTGTCATTCCATTGAAGAGCAGCCTTGGCCTCCTAACTGAAAAAGATCAGCAGTTCAAAAACACCAGCTGCTCCTTGGGAGAAAGTTGGGTATTCGACTCCCATAAGGAATTACAGCCTTGGGAGCCCTCAGGGACTGTCCGATCCTGTCCTATAGAGCCAGTGTGCATTGGAAAGGATTCTATGGCAGGTGAGTGATCATTTCATTGCCTTCTGTTGAGAAAATCCAAGTTTAGTTATACTGGTTTGCCTGTATAGGTAGGTACTTTTTCATTTATACTGCCCTGCTCTCAGAATTCTTCCCTTGCCTTTGAATTTGGAGAGGTTGACTATGGCATGTTGTAGGGGTCTTATTTTGAGATCTATTCTGTTTGGGGTTTATTCAGCATCTTAAGTACCTATCTTCTTGACATCAAGATATTAAGGGATTTTTCCTCCAATACCTCCAACAATTTTCTCTCTGCCTTGAAAATTTTGCTTTCTTCTGCTCTGAAATTGCAATGACACATAAGCCATTGCTCTTGAGGATTTGCCACATAATTCCAAGCATTCATTCAGATATCTGGGGTCTTTTTTCTGATTGTATCTCTAGCAAATTAGTTAGGAGAGATTTATGTTCAAGCTCACTAATTCAGCTTTCCACTGATTCAATTTTATTCCTTTATCCTTCCAAAATATTATCTATTTCTGAAATAGCATAAATCTTCTGGTTTTCTGTTTGCTGTTTTGTATGACTTCTACTTTTTTCATTTACTTTGCTAGTTTGTTCTTATAGTACTTACCTGAGTTTTATTTTTTCTGTATTTCCCTTGACCTCTTCTGTAGCCTTTCCATCTTTCTCTAAGTCTTATGAATGAACTAAATATTCTTTTAAACTCCTTATCAGGCAGTTTTATTGTCATTTGTTCCTCAAAAGAGCATTTGTCTAAACGTTTTGGTCACTTGTTTGACCACCCTGACTTCTTTCTTCAAGAGAACCAAAATTGTTGTCCCAGAAGCTTTGCTGCGGTATAGCTGTTGTCTTTACACACTCATCACCTGGTTCCTGGTGGATGTGACAGAGAAGGTGCATATGTGCACAGCTCTCTGCTTAGGTAGCATGGGTGACTGCTGCTGCCTGCTGGCTATTCATGATCAGGTAGTATAGTAGTGACACTTGCCCAATTGGTGGGCCTGCAGGAGGTACAGGACAGATGGGTCAATTTGTTATTGTTTTCTATTGTTATTTGTTATTGGTTGGGACAAAAAAATTGAAACAGCAGCAGCAGCAGCAACAGTCTAATAAGGGAAAGCAGACAAAGAACAGCAGGAAAACATAACTAAGTATCATCCTTACTGCCACCCAGTGGTGTTCTAGCATGTTATCTAAACAGACTGCTCTTTGCAAACACTCAAGATCGCTGTGGATTGTCAGACTAGCTGACAATTCACCAGCATTTCTCTTCTAAGGTCACTTTAGTTCAGCTTTTTCTCTTAGTAGATATCTAATCCATTTCTCTATCATTTCCTCTGAGGGTCACTGTTCCTATTTTATCATCTAGTCTCATACCTTTGTTGTAGAGGGTCTGTGTAGTGTGTCTGTTTATTCCACCATCTTACTGAGATCAGCAATAACACCAACTTCTTGATAAATGGGAAAAGCTACTTCCACACACAAACAATTCCATGAACACCAAAGTACAACTTTGAATATTTCTACTCCAATTCAGAGAAAATCTCACTAATAGATTTGATGCACTGGTTACTAATGACAAAAGACTAGACAAGTTGTGAGAAGGCCACATCGTACAAGAAGCGGGTAAGAGCTCCTTGAAAAGGACAAGAAAGGAAGTTCAAAATGGATTCCAGAAGAGACACTGAACATAACAAGTGTCATGATTGTGTGTTTTTTCTTTTATACATAGAGCTGCTATCAGTTGGACCAACTCAACAGCATCTAACAACAAAAACAATGCGGGGAAAAAAGCGAATAGTGTAAGAAGCAACAAAAGAAGATGGGAGAATACATAGATTCGCTATGCCTCTATACCAAAAAGTGTTCCTTGATGTTCAATCACCTCAGGGTAGCATATGACCTAGAACCAATAGTACTGACAGGAAAGGTCCATGATGCACTGAAGGTGTTTGCAAACACAAGGCTCTAGGAATTGACAAAATACCAATGGGAATATCTTAACCAATGCAAACAAAGCTGTAAGCATCTCTTGTCTATGTTAAGAAATTTGAGAGACAGCTACTTCAACAACTGACTCTAGGAGATTGATATTCATGTTCATTCCAGAGAAAGATGATCTATGAAATGTAGACAATATTGAGCAATATAAGTAATAGCACATGCAAATAAAACTATGCTGAAGATAACTCAAAAGCAATTGCAGAAATATAACAACAGAAGACTGCTAGGAATTCAAGATGGATTCAGGAAAGAATGTCGAATGAGGTATTTATTAGTCAATCCTGCCGATTAACGGGTCTTGATTGAACGAAGAGAATACCCAAAAATGTCTTCTTATGCAAAGATATTCCACTTTGGGATTATAATAAGTTACGTGATGAATAGGAATCCTAGTACATTCAATTGTGTTTATGGGGAACTTGTGCACAAACCAAGAGGCAGTTGTAGCAGCAGAACCAGGGGATACAGTGTGGCTTAAAATCAGCAAAGACGTGCATCAAGGTTGTAACCTTTCATTGGATTTATTCATTCTGTGTGCTGATCAAAGAATTCAGTAACCTAGCTCTATGAAGAGAAGGAGGCATCAGGATTGGAGGAAGGCTCATGAACAAATGCAGTACTCAGATGACACAACCTCACATGCTGAAAGTAAAGATCCGCAGCATTTAGAGACGGAGATAAAAACATATCTGGACCTTCGTATGAATGACTACTCAGATACGAAACAAAAATTCGGATACATTTTGAGATTTATTAGATTTACAAATCTAATAGTAAGTTTTAAGATTTATAAGCAATATTGTGATAAACTGTTGAAATATTTATGTTATTTAGGATTTCATTGTCCTAGGATCCTTAATTAACATGCCCAGAAGCAGGAGTCAAAAAGTCAAATGATATATTCTTTAGTTAAATCTGTTGCAAAAGACAAATATATCACTTTGGGGACTAAGGTAGACTTGGCATGAATCATAATATTTTCACTTGCCTCATGCTCATGCAAGCTAGACAATGTGTAAGGAAGCCAGTGAAGGATAGCTATGTTTGAATTATTGTGTTGACAAAGAATATTGAATATGACATAGACTACTGGAATAAAAACCACATTTTTGTCTTGGAGTAAGGATCCCCACTGCTTCTGAGAAGTGAGAACCGTGAGTTGGTCTCAAGAGCTTTGGACATATTACCCATAAAGGCCAATCCCTAGATAAAAATATTACTTTTGGTAAATGAGAAAAATAAAACAAGATCCTCAATGATATGGATTGATATGGTGACTGGCGATGGTGGCAAATATAGCACAATTGTGAGGATAGTTATGAGTTAGAACCAATTTGAAGTCACTTAAAAATACAATCACCCCACCAAAGGACATTTGGCAATGTTTGGAGTTATTTTGGGAGGAGCAACTTGAATGCAGCAGTTGAAGGCCAGGCATACTACAAAACACCCTACAAAATACAGAACAGTCCCTGCCCCCCCACCCCCACCCCAGCACAGCGCACTCAGCGCACAATGACAATAACTGTTGTGTATGCATTTTCCACTAGTTGGAACTGACTTTGTCCCCTAACAATAACAGCACCCTTCAGACGTGGATTCACAACTTGACCTCTGCACTATGTCCTGAAACTCGAATCCCTTATTATTAGTATGCTCTGAAAGAATGTTAGAAACCTATGATTTTGTTGAACCATTTAGAAAATGGAACAACTTACACCCAGTGTCAAGTTTTAGTGATGTCATGAATCTATGAGAAAACAAAAACAAACCTCAGTTTAATTTTTTATCTCTTTTGGAAATATATTTTATGTTTTATATAATCAATAAAAGACCAGCATTCTTTTCTTCTGCCACTATAACAGAGAACAGAATAAACTTCTTTTAAAATGATAACTTTATCACTTAAAAATAGCTGTAAGTGTATATATTGACCTCTTTCTATTCACCAGGAGGCCTGGTGGCATACTGGGTATGAGTTGGGTTGCTAACTGCAAGGTCCAACTGTTCGAAACCACCAGCTGCTCCATAGAAGAAAGATGGGCTTTGTACTTCTGTAAAGAGTTGCAGTCACGGAAACCCAGAGGGGCTGTTCTGTCCAGGCCTTTAGGAGTCAAAATCAACTCGATGGCAGTGCGTTTGGTTTGGTTTGGGTTGGGGTGGGGTGGGTTTTTCATTGCATGTGGAAAACCTCGTGATGAATTTACCTGACCTTGTCCAGAATCGTTCTCTTCCAGCAGAGCAGGCCAATACATGACAGGGATTTCTGCAAGGGCCACGGAGTCCTGAGAGGGCTCACTGGAAAATACAGGGAGCCGCACTTGTTTTTCAATATTTCCCCCTCTCTCCAGAAAACATACTCTAATGACATCTGTGGACCCTGTCCCCGACGCTGTTGTGCAACGAAAAGCTTGGGCACTGTCTACTTTGAACTTAATACAGCAATACTATGGTGCACACATCCCTCTGCTGTGGGTTTAAGTTCATCAGAACACTGAAATGTTGAGCAAGTTAGTCTGTTGAATTATTTGGTTGGAAAGTTACTAATCTAAGGTTGCCCTATGCTTTATAAATAAACAGTCAAACTTACAATTAATAATCTAACATTACTGCATCCATGTACTGATATTTTTGAGCAAAAGAGGGAGAGTAAATTTTAGCTTGGCTACTTGTTTAACTTTATAACTTATTTTCATGGTAATTGATATTATTTGGATTCATTTATCATCTTTCAATGCATTGTCACCATGAGTAATTAGGTCTTGCTGTCATACTTTATTATTAGCTTTCATACTACAAAATTATAATTAACTTTATTCACCTGGGACTCACACAGAGTACCTTAGAGAAAAATTTTGGTTACATCGCACGCTCTACTCAACAACTCTTCCACCCATTTTTTACCTTTAGAGGAATAATATTGTTGCCTCTACCATTCCCTCTCATTAAGTTTTGGAAGTCATGCAAATTTTATGTATTGGTTTCCTTAATAAGCACATCACTACAAACTAAAATAGGTAATTTATTTCCCAAGCCAGTTTGAGAAAAAACATTATTGTTTAGAAATTGCTAATTGTATAAGGCCTTGCTAAGACATTTACGTCTATCATGTAGAGTCTGTATAAAGTGCTTAACCTTAGAGTAATCACAGGTATGGAAAAGAAAATTAATTATTGAGCCTTGAAGATTGAAGGCAGAAAAAAATTCCAAAGCCTGTTTGAAGAAGTCACTACTCACAGTCCTTTCTTGATCATCTAAGCCGGTCTGCTGCTTTCTACTCCGTGTAAATCTTTCGGAGGCAATTTGCTTAGTAGAATTTGTGAAAGGCTCTGCTCCCTTGGCTTCGCTTTGAAAGGAGATGGTAGATGAGAGCTCTTCGTTTGCTCTCAAATCCACAGCTGGTTTCTAGCATGATCTTTTTAGCATTTGCCCTTCCACAATGGGAGGAAGAGGCTGAGGCTTTTTGCCAAGGCTGATGTAGGATAAGCTATAAGAAGTCTGTTCAAGAGGCCAGGACACCAAAGCAAATTCCCAGACAACCTATAATTATTCCCGTGTGTGGATAAAGCTGTGTTCCCAGGAAAACTCCACCCAGAAAAGCCATGGCCCAGAGGTAAAAGTTCCTGGGATGTGAACTATGAAACTTGAAAAGTTTCAGATTTCCAGGGTACTTGTGCCATAAACAAGGGTCATGACTTGAATGATATCTTGTGACCAATGATTGGATATCTAAAATTTCCATTTTATCCATAATGATTCCTTCTGCTCATCCCCAGGAAAGAAATCCAGAAGACACCTCTCATTTTTCACTGTCATTCTTTTGAAAATTGTAATTGCAAAGCACCTAAAAATGTTATTGCAACATGTTCTTTAAACAGTCACTCTGATTGCTAAGTAGAGAATATCATTCTGGGTAGACTGTGTTCTGTAGACTGTTACCTAGCAGGCATGTTCAGATGTTCAGGGTAAACTCAAAACTCACTGGTATTGAGTTGATGCCAACTCATAGCTCCCCTGTAGGACAGGGTGAAATGTCCCTGTGAGCTGTAACTGGACAGAAATAGAAAGCCTTGTCTTTCTACACATACCCTCTACACCACCAGAGCTACTGTGCTCAGATTGCGCCCACAGTGTTTCTCATCTTATAAACAGAGCATCCCAAATTAAAAAAAGCTCAATTCTCCACCTAATTATTATTTCTCTGGGACTCAGTTATCTCTGAAATGGGTACAGTACACACAAAATAAGTCTTTGAGTGTTAAATAAAGTGAAGACAGATGATGCATGGTCTGAGAGAGCACCCTTTGTATCTCCAATACTCAGCAATACATTTCTTTCCTTTTGCTGCTCTATCCCCTGTCCCATCTCTCAGTCCAAGTAAGTCAGAGGTCAGAGAGGAAAAGGGAACTGATTTCTTGAACTGTCCAAACATATTCTGCTTTATTTATAATTTATTGTCGACCCACTGAACTACAGCCCGAAGGAAAGTGTGAATTACAAAGCCTTGACTTGGTAACAGTGTTTTATGGATGTGTAACTGTGGCCTAACAGTAAACTCATCTTATGTTAGTTCAATAAAGTGTTTTTTTAAAATATCAAATGTGCACATTTTACATAATTAGGGATGATTAGTTATAAAACATTTAGAGGAAAGTAAAGTCTACTTAAAAGTTATAAAATGTTAGGCTAGCAGATAAATGAGAAGGCAGCTACCAGGGTAAAGCAATGCTACTTGGAAGTCTTAACCAGACACTGGGCAGGGAACTATCGCCAGAGAACTGTTACCGACTGAATTCCTTGCGAAAGTCAACCTCACGTCCACCCATGCACATGCACAGCCAAAAACTTATGGAAAAAATAGGGGCGGCAACTATAGCTTCCAAGGCAAATTCCAGCTACTTGAGAACACTCTGTTCAAGTACATCTCCACTTGTCATTATGATGTTCTTCCGGAGCTAACCCATGTACACGCTGTCCAAGTGCATCCCCTATTGTTATGATATTTCTCCTGAGCTAACTCAGTAGCTGATGGTTATTTATTTAATTTATAATTTGAGCTTACAAACTTTTGGTGAATGAAAAATTTGTCACATATTTTTTTCTCTCATGGTCCAATAGTTTATTGGTCTCCTTACATTAAAAAAGTCATAAAATATTTGATTTTGGTTATCTTCTGAACCAATATTTAAGTAAATGTTTTCTTTTGGAGCCAAAAGATATTATTGATTTAGAACCATAGAAAAGGACAAAGCAGTATGTTAAATCTTTAAAAACAATCTTATGTTACATGTATAGTTCTGTCGGTATGAAATTTATTCTAGAAAATTTATGCCATTTATAATTATTTATGAAATTTCCTACTGTATACATTAAGCCTTTCACTTAATTTTTCCAGAATAATTCATCATTTAATGTAAGTAGCATCATGTAAGAAAATAATTACTAGTTGTGATAGCTTTAAATAGCTCAAATATGCTTCTGAACAGCCCCCAAAACATTAACATTGGTTTATCTATATTCTGCGACCAAATGCTCTACTAGTTTAAACTAAATGGTAAAATTAAAGATAATTACATAGAATTAATCTAATCTACCCTCCCCGGGAACAACAGTGTCCTTATCACTTAAAAACATAGTTTTAACATGAGCATATCAAAATCATATATTGCATGAACCATATGGGCAAAGTCAACCTAAACAAAAAGTATGCATTTCAGATTAAAATTAAATAAGCTAATGATTTTGTAAAGCAATAGGAAGTTAGCAACTAAATATTAGAAAACATGTTGACCTAAGTGTGACAGATCACCTAGGACAATGAAATCTCACTGTATTGATCCTTATTGATAATTATCTTCAATCGTGCTTCAATTTAAAAATCCTAAACAAATAGCTTAAGTATATAATAAAAGTTTTACAATAACCCAAATTGGATTGTAGATTCTTTCAAATATTAACAAGTAAATGTTCACAGATAAACATAAGAGTGTAAACATTAAGAAATGCAGTGTCCTTGGTCATTGGACCAAGTTTTAATAATTTATCTAGGAAGATTGAAAACTTGATAAACAGCACAAACTAATTTTTAATACAGTTTACTGATCTTGAAAAAAAAGTTATGTCTGTGCTGTGAATTTCTTAAAATATCTACACAGTAGTGTCATCTGGCATAATTTGTGAGATAGAAGCTCCTTGCTCTTTTTGTATTAAACACATATCTCGACTCACCTTGAAAAGGGAGATGACTCTTTCAATCAAGTGCTCCAACATTTGAGCAGGAATTGTCTGTAGGACTAAATTATATCCTGAAGAAAAAGCTTACAGTGCAACGCTCATTACATAAACTGGGTGAGAGTTTAAATTTTCTTAAAAAAAAAAAAAAACCTTTCACGTCAGATCCCAGTATGCAATCTGTTGCCAAAGAAAGAAGAAAAAAAAAGAAAAGAAAAAGAAAGAAAGAAACCCATATACACCATGCTACTGGTAAAACTCATAAAGGGCTGTTTTTATGATCTGGTAAGGACCTGCTACCCCTATCTGAGGTCCTTAGCTGCAGCACTGTGGGTGTGGGTGTGGGGGGTGTTATTTCCCAATCTAAGTAAGTCAGAGGCCAGAGGGGCAAAGGGAACTGAGTTACCCTGCTGTCCTTAAAGCACTCAAGTTTACTCACAATCATCGTTCCAGATGCTGCACTTGGATGATAGGCAGAAAGGGTAAATGGGGGATAAGAGTCTTTTACTGTTATTTTTTAGATTCCAAAGCTCATCTCGTAGAGTTTAAATGATATCTCTTTTTCTATGCAGTATTACTCTGAAGTGTTGTAAGACAAATCATTTTGAAAACAGTTGGAGACCCTGTCAATCAACAAGGATGTCAAACAGGCTTAAAGAGGAAATAGACTATTGTTCTAGTTGGGAAGTTCTTAACTGTTTATCATTTCATGTTAGTTTTATAAAAATTCTATGAGCTTAGAAAAATTACTGTATAAAAAAGCACCGTAAATTCCTCTAAAATTCTTCAGCTAAAATATAACCATTAAGTAATTTATAGAGTGACTACTTAGCATGACCATTTAATGTAAAGAAAGTATACTCTTAAGTCTTTTTTTTTAAAAAGCCATCATTTCTGTTTATAGAAAATAGGAGGTCTGGAGCTTTTAAGGAATAAAGCCCTTCCATGTCAAGACCCCATTTTTACCAAGAAATTCACAGAATCACACAGGCAAACTTTTCAGAAGGTTAAACTCTCATCTCTCAGGCCAGTTGGATAAATGCCTCCTAGTTAACCTTGAAATAAAGCAACCTAACAATAGTGGTGTAGAAATATATTTAGTTCATTAGATCATTTTAAATATCTCTTAATCATTGGACTGCTTGTGCTGTCTCTTCTGGGCATGTGGGAAAGACAACGAATCCTTTCATTAGTAAACAGTGCAATAGAACTGGAAAGGAGTTCACAACACTCTTTTTGCTCAAGCATGGCTTTTTCTTCCTAGACTATTTCTGCTGACACATTTACTTTAAAATTAATGATCAGTCATGAAACGCATTAGGTACACTGGAATATTTCCCCTCGAATTTGCAGACCACTGGGTAAATATATCTCCGTGTTATTTAACACCAAAATAGCTTTGTGAAACTCTTACTATGATTTGTGCTTTTCATTTTAAAAGAATAATTTCCAGAGATTTCAAGTAACTTTAAAAGTTATTTTCTTATAACTGTGACTTTTTAATTTTGGTTACATCTTTAAAATAGTACAGATGATCATTTAATTCTTGACTACGAGTTTTCTTTTTGTTATAATTAAACTGCTCTTATTATATAAATATATTCTCATCAACCGAATACACCCCCCAATATGACATTCAGAAATAGCTTACCAACAGGAAACTTCAGAGAGGATCTATTTTAAAGTGAACATAATAAACATATACATAATAATTTAATTACAATGACAATAATAATACTAAGAGAGAAATGTATTTCAGGAAAAAATACAAGAAAAATGGATACCTAATTCCACACTCAACTTACTTGAATCATTTTTTAATCAGCAGCCTATTGCCATTGAAACCCTCTGACTGTCTGGAGAGGAAAATGTCACACACCCTCAGGAGCGGTCCAAAGAATCAAATTTACATTCCCAGGGGCAGCTGCGAAGTGTTCAATGCCATAGACAACAATTCCTGAGCAGCTTAGCACACACGATCCAGGAAGCACACAGCTGGGTGAAATCTTCAACAGTGTTTATGGCTTTGGGTCAAGCACACATCTTGACAATAAGGAAACAAGATGCTGCATCCATTTCAGAGCAACAAAGTCAAGTTTTTCATTTTTAGAAGGAGTGCCTCCCTCTAGTATTTGAAGCGTGTGTTTTATGTGAGCGCACACTTTGCCTTACACAAATCCACAATAACGCTAGATAACTTAGTTGAAATCATAGGCAGACATTTTCAATATACTTATGTGAGGGGGCATTACTATAGTTGTTGTCAGACACTTAGGAGTTTGAATCCTGGTGATAACAGGCAC